TCCTTGGGTCCAACTTTCCTTATTGGTGAAATGAAGGAGTTGGACAATCTCTAAGTTCTCTTCTAGCTTTGCTATTTTTAGGCCATAAATTCCTAGTTTCTTACAAGGCCCACAGTTCTCCTATGAACAGAAGCCATAGTTAAGCAAGTTGAAGTGGATGGGATGGAGTGCAGAATGGGAAAGGGGGTGGAGAAGACAAGAAGTAAATGCAGAAGGTTTAATTTTCCCAGTCGGATGGCTGGTATGTGCAATGTCATTTTCTTTATTTTTCTGCCATCAGATTTATTTTGTATCTCAAGCCCCTATTCTGGCGGATGCAGAAAAACTAGTGTAGTTACTTCCAGGCGAATCAGTCACTTAAGTCATTTTCTCAATCATTTTACTTCTCAGCTCTATCAAATTCAGGATTTTCACTTTCATTCCCCTTCACCCCATCTGTGGAGAGAGGGAAGCTGTGCCTCTGCTCAATCTGCCCTGAGTCCTCCGTTGAGATGTTACGTGTCCCTGTTTGGTCTTCACAGTTATCCAAGAATCTTTATATCTGTGGGCTGATCAAGGTCTGATGAGTGTGGGGACTTTACCCGGCCTTCGCTTTCCCAAAACTCTCGTAGGGTGTTTGGTCAGTAGATGTTTGAGCCAATGGCTGGGATCTGAGATCTCCACAGCCTTGACCCAACCAGGCTTGAGGAAGATCTGTGTGGGATTCCTAAATCCATGGGGCGTGAAGGGAGAAATGTATTGACACCATCCTGAAATCAAAATGGGTAAGATAAACATGGAGGCTTTCTTTAAAGTAGAACAGGCCATGATGAGCTGCTACAGAGCCTTTCTCCATCTACCTTGGGAAGAAGACATTTCTTCCCTCCTCAACACATCCTTATTGGGTCTCTTCTATGGGATCCAGGCACTGTGCTGGGCACTGGGGGCATGGTGATGAATGAGACAGATACTGGCCTGCCTTCCCAGAGCTTGTAAGAGCTACAGACAATGAAACAAAGAACAATGAAGAATGATGGATATTGTGACCCACGCGGGGAAGCACATGGGTGTCTAGGAGCACTTGGTGGGAGAGAAGTGGTTAAGGTTATTCAAGGAAGACTTCCTGGGAAAGGTGAAATTTAAGGGGAGACTGGTGTTTTAAGCCAAGAAAACAACAGATATGAATGATAAATCCCCTGCTGAGAGATGTTGATGGTTGGAGCACAGAGGGCAACAGGACAGAGGAAGATGAGGCTTGAGAGGTAAGAGGTGAATGAGTGCACCTGGTTTGAGGGCATCAACTAAGTACTCACTTCCTCACTCCCTTCCAGTCTTAAATCCTGAGTGCAGATTCTAACCTTTTTCATGCTTCATAACATCTAGCATGGAGCTGTGCATACAGTAATTGCTCAATTAATACTTGTGAAGTCATTGACCAAGGATAGGGGTCAATGCAAAGTTAAGGACCTAGTTCTACATACAGACCTTTAGAAAATTAAAGCATGCACTTCCAATCACATGACCTGTAAGTTTATGGCCCTGTAGTTGCATTTTAAAAACTAAAACAAAATACTTGTTAAAAACTAATGGGAATGTGTAAAATCAGCACTGGCAAGTCTCCATTGGCAGGCAGGGAAACCTGGCTTCTTGAAGGCTGCCTGGCTCCATGGCTGAAATATGCCGCGAGCAGAGATCCAGAGGTGAAAAGTCATTTGCTTCTGGGAGCAAGAAATGAACTCCAACCCAAGGTGGCAGGTTTCCGCTCTCTAGGGCAAAATGACATTGTGAGCCTCAAAGTGTTAAGGATTGCCAGCTCACAAACACATTCATTGCAATGGGAATTCAGAAGAGGCAGCCAGTCCTAGCTGGGGTCGTTGGGGGGAGGTGTAGGATGCCAGCTTTCTCCTAAGGCTGGGCCTCAGCCAGGTCAGAGGAGCCCAAGGCCTCCCAGAACCCATCCTTTCTCTCTTTCAGAAGCCCACTGGCCCCCCAAGTCTTGTCTCTTCCAGCCACCCTCATCTGCCTGGGCCTTACCACTCAGCTGTCCATGCCTCCTCGGTATACGTTTGCTTTCACCTCTACGCACACACAGGCCATGTTCAAGCCAAGCATTTGCTCCTATACCAAACCCTCAGTCAGTTAGTTTCTCAGCAATTTAGATATGCTAAATGCAGAAAGTCTGGTTTTCTGGTTAAACAATATCCTCAGATATTTTCTCTTCTTACCCCAGATCTCCTCTCCAGGCCTTTCTTCCCAGCCCTCGTGCCCTTCATTGTTTGATTTAGGAGTTGAATGAGTTTTCTAGAAACACACCACAGAAATAAATTCCTCAGAGGCAATGCAATAAATTATCTGAGATATGCATGAGTGATGGAGCCTTTTGGTAGGAGACTCTGAAGAATGCTAATCATGGAAAAACACATTTCAAGCGGCCAAATTTTACAGGGAGCAATTAGTATTAAATGAGACCATGTCAGAGGCACCAGGGCATTGGAAACGAGCTGCCCTGCCTCCTTTTGTCAGTTGGGTTTTCTAAATGGAACAGAATGATATGTAACCAAAATACTGGAAGACCATTTCTTTGCTAAGGAGACCCAGCCAACAAACACAGTGGAAAAATAGGAGATAGCTCTCTCTCTCTCTGGGAGTTTATTTTTCAATCTTCCGTTAGAGGACAGAACCTAGAGTCTTGAAAAGCTCTAGGAGTCAAAACAATCAGTAAGAAAAGTTCTTTGACTCCCCCGAGCTGAGTGCAGATAAAAATGCCACTTTTAAAGAAAGAAGGGAAACTGGAATTGTTAGGTTAATTGTTTGTGTTTGCGAACCATCTGTCCTGTGTTAAGAAAAGGATTTTTTTTATATATATAAAATAAAAGTCTGTGTTGTCATCTAAATGATTGGTTTGTGCCCTCGTGGGGAGTCTAAAGAGGAAACTATTTGGGTTTAAAAAATGGGAAAAATTAGTCACTAGTGATTCACAGAGACTATAAATATGCGGCTATGTTGTCCACTTATGTGTGATCCAGCTGGGATAAGCTGTTTGGAAGGAAGCAGGAAGATGCACAAACAGCCCGAAAGGCAGCCGAGGCCCTGCTTCAGGTGTGGTGGAGTGACCAAGCATCCCCTCAGAGCCTCCCCTCAGAGCCTCTCTGTCTCAGTACTCAGTCCTGCCTGCAACAGCCAGTAGCTGCCTCTGTTAACTTGCGTTTGTCCTAAGCCACAGAGAGCTACCCTTGCCAAGTCACACTGGACTGATAGTGGCAGAGAATCCGCATCTCCCAGGAGCAGCCCTCAACCAGTGATGGAGAGGAATGTGTGATGTAGCCCAGCATCCTCACCCCTGGGGCGGAAGGGAGCAGGGGCTCTACACCTTTCCCAGAATTTCCCCATAGGGTTCTGCTCTGCTCACCTACAGGAGTAACTGCTTAATATCACACCCTTTATTAGCTGCCCCGCCCCTGCCCCACTTCCTCCTTCCCCTATCTGTGTTTCCTGCACTTGCCATAAAAACACCTTGCCCTTGAATACTTGCCTCAGGGTGTGCTTCTGGGGGAACCCAAGCTGAGACACTGAGCTACATTTTTTTTCCTCCCTGGGGCCTAATGAGTCTTGTTATTATTAACTTCCTTTGCCCCTCTTTCCCTGTACAGCATTCTCAGCCGTTCCTCTCCCCACAAGCCTCAGCCCTTCACCTGCCTACACAATTCTTCCTGCCAGAACCCTTCCTGCTTCCCCAGCTGAGTAGGTGCAGGACTAAGTCACCAGTAGGTTGGAGTGGACCTGGGTCTGGGTGGCTTCCTATTGGTCATGCCCTCACCCTGGGCCTTAATACTCTGCAAGTATTCAAATCAGGTGCTGTGGGGTCAAATTCCAATAGCAGATTGATAGCACCCTGACGATCCACTCCTGGATCTGACCGTAAGTGTCCACCTCATTGTCCATTCTACCAGGAGTGGAGCCCATAGGGGTGGTCAGGGCTAGTAGGAGAAAGAACACTGCCATTCTGGGGTGCCCAGTTAATATGTTCTAGGCTCTGTTCAGGTGTAGTCTTCTAGCAATTGGTAACAAGTAAATAGGATTCTCATCAGATTTTTAAAACTAACAATTTTATCCACAATAAAATTTCAGAAAACATAAAAAGAAATGAAAGAAAAATACCACCCATATTCCTACCATCCAGAAACTACCTGAGATACTAGTTTTTCTCCTCCTGTCCCTTGATTCTTGTGTAACTAGTAGAAATCACACTGGCTTCCTTTTCCACTCAGTATTAAAGTAGGAGAATTTCTCGCATGTCACTTCATACTTTGAAAACATTAGGACAGAATGCTTGTCTCTTGCACATTCTACATGTGGAGAGAGAACACCCACTCCATTCCCATGGGACGGGCACTTTGGGGAAGACTTCTTTTAGCATTGCTGATTGATCGGTGAGATCAAGGAAAGAGCAGAAGGGGAACTGTCTCTTTCTTGTCTCTTTTCCTGAGTTTTAAAATCAAGAAGTAACTATAAACTTGTATTTTTTAGATAAAATATACCAAATAATCATCTAAGAGAGTTGAAAACAGTTGCTTCTGGAAAGAAAGAAGTCTTATTGAACTGCTTGCCTCTTTAATCCTTATATAACTTTAGTGAAAAATGAAACAACTTCATTGAAGGGGGATGAGACATGATTTATTGACCTAACAGTAAACACAGGTTTTGTTATAAACTTTGTAAACATCATTTTTAATGGCTCCGCATTATCCCATTGTGTGGCTATACTACATTTTGTTTATCTATCTTCCTGTTATTGTACATGCCATCTGCTTCCCAATTGTATTTAGATACTACTGTGATGAGCAACCCTGTGCATAAAGCTTTATTTTGTTGTGGTAATTTTGAGATTTTCTTTGTAAGAAAATGAGAGTGCTCACAGGATATACAAGTGCGCATTTCCCCCATACTCTAACCAGCTTTGATTAAATTTATTTTTAAGTCTCAATTAAGTAATGAGTGAAATTATTTCCAATTTTCAACAGTTGATTAATGAGCTCAGAGACCTCCTGCCTGCCCCGGAGTGTACAAGGTTAAGAAGTGGTGGAGCTGGATTCTAAGCCCAGTCCGTCTGCCTGCCAAATCCTCATCTCAGTAGAAAGGCCTGGTGGAGAGCAGTTGTCAGAGGAGCTGGGTCCTAAGTCCAACCTTTTCATTGACCAGGTAGTACTCTTTTAGTCTAGATTTCCTTGTCTGTAAAATAGGAGTGCCTCATTAGCCCATCCCCTTCACAGAGCTATAAGGACCAAACGAGATAATGAATATCAACACTCTTGGGAAAATCTAGAAAATTCCGTTTGATTATAGACTTCAAAAGGGCATGGACCCGGCATTCCATTTCCTCTCAAATATATATCTGGATTTCGTATTTATTTAGCATTCATTTATGGCAATTATTATAGGTTAAATGCTTTAGATGTATTATCTCCTTTAATCCTCCTAACAGCCCAATGGGTTCGGTATGGTTGTTTCTGTTTTTGAGATGAAAAATTGAGGCTACATCCCACAGCCTGGAAATGGTAGAGATGAGCTTGAACAAGGTGATCTGACTCTAGAGCTTGGGCTCTTATTGTTTTAAAGTGTAGTTTTTATTACTCTTCAGACATGATGAGGCCAACAGATTAGGAGATGATTTCTACTGAAAATAGAGTTTGTTACAGTTCTCAAGAGAAGGGGGCACTCCATGGCACACAGCCACTAGGGCAGTGGTTCTCAACCTTCCTAATGCCGCGACCCTTTAATACAGTTCCTCATGTTGTGGTGCCCCCCAATTTCATTATTACAAATTGAACATAATTAAAGCAGAGTGATTAATCACAAAAACAATATGTAATTATATGTGTTTTCTGATGGTCTTAGGCGACCCCTGTGAAAGGGTCATTCGATCCCCAAATATACGTAAGGCAGCGTGATTAATAACATTATTGAATATTTAAAATTATGTCCTGTGAAGAAATGAATCTCACTAATGGGACTGGATACAATTTTCAGTGGATGGTTCATGCTTTGGATTTAGATAGGCTGGTGTTCCCAAGCATTTATTAATTATGTAATTTTTAGTGATTTATTTATAATACTAAGACTTATTTAAATAGTATGTAAAATGAGGTAACAATGCACCTCAATGAACTGTTTAGGAAGCAAATGAGATGCTGTATTTGAATTGGTCTGAGTAGCATTTAGTGGTAATAAAGAAATTTTCAAATCTCAGTGGCTTAACTCGTAAAAAAAAAATGTTATTCTCTGTTCATGCTCTAGAGCAGTGATGGCGAACCTTTTGACCTCGGCGTGTCAGCATTTTGAAAAACCCTAACTTAACTCTGGTGTCGTGTCACATATAGAAATTTTTTGATATTTGCAACCATAGTAAAACAAAGATTTATATTTCTCATATTTATTTTATATATTTAAATGCCATTTAACAAAGAAAAATCAATCAAAAAAATGAGTCCGCGTGTCACCTCTGACACGCGTGTCATAGGTTCGCCATCACTGGTCTAGTTCATAGTTTATAAATGTCTTCCAGGAGGACCTGAACAACAGATTCTATTTACCACAACACATTTGTCAGAATTGGGAATTCTGGAAATTGACAGGTGGAAGGCTGAATGCACCCTTTGGGTAGGTATTCTGAGCCCTAAGATAGATCTATGATGCTGCATCATGCAAGCTATACTGACCAAATGGAGGAGTGTCCTAGTGTTGTGTGGGGACCTAAAAAGAGAACTCTCTGCCCTCAAGGAGTTTACAAAGAATAAAAGGCAATAGAAAGAAAAAGATCCCCAGTGTTGAATACTGTTAATATGAAGTGAAAATATATTTTAAGGGGATCATTGACAAAGGAAATATGCAAAGAGCAAAATAATATAGCATACATTCGATTCTATGCGGCTGCATTCTCCAGAAGTTCCCAAGGCTCACCCATCCCATCTGCTCATGCCAGTGGGGTGTCCCACTCCTATCTCCTCTCCCAGTCCAATGACTGTGCAAAATTAGAAGGGCCAGAAAGTAGGAGAGAAAGATGAGGCTTCAACTCAAGGGAGGAGCAGAAAGGCCCACCCCTTATCCAGAGGCTGTCAGGTCCACTTCCTTCACCAGCCCCATTCCAAAAACATCTCTCTACAGTTATTCAGGGATGCCTGTTGCCATGGCTACCGGGTGACAGATGCGTTTTGAATCTGGTATATGAAGAGCTCTTCCAATTTGGAATTAGACCCTGAACAGGTGGCTATTTTTAGCCCCACATGCTGCTAATACACACTTTAGAGAAGTCAGTTCTTTGTCTTGTACTTAAACATCATCTTTCTCCACACCCTCCCATTTCACTGCCCAAGTGGCTTGAGTCATGGATAGGAATTTTGTTTACCATTATTACAATGTGAAAGACACAACTAAGACCCCAAGATTCAGGCTGGAAGAGCTGTATTTCAGACTCAGGATACTCATCGGGAAGCCAGCACAAGCCCTGGGCAGCATGTGTCAGCTTTCTCTCTGAGATGGAGGGTTGTCCTCTCCAGAGCAACTCTGAATGTTGATTTCCCACTTGATGCCCAGAGTGGCTGGCACCACCTTGCTCAGGGACTCTTGTGTTTGGCCCCTCTTCCATTAGGGCAAGTTCTCAATCTTGTGTGGACAAATCTGTGCTATTATTTGCAAAACAATACTTAGGATTCTGTGTTCTTCCTATGGACATATAAAGGCAGCCTAGTCTAAGGAGATGAGTTATAGACTTCCTCCAACTCCAAGTTAGTTTGACATTGAAGTTCTCACATGTGACCTCAAGTTATCTCTCTAAACTCTCAAAACTTGCAGACACCAAGCCTGAAATCCCTAGGGTATTCTCCAAACATGCAGTGTACTCCCACTGGAATTTCTACATGGTTTTTAGTGCCTGTATCAAACTCCACATGCCCAAGAATTCCTCCCTCTGCCTCTCTCCCCACCTCTTAGTTAAAAGCATTCAAGCATAGCATTCTTTCCTTCCTCTAGACCCTCATATTTCATGAGTAAATGTTTTAGAGCTTAAATCATTGCACATAGCATTTGGTGCTGTTATTTGGGCATTTCTGAGCTTCCTCTTAACCACTGCAAACTTCATGGAACCAGAGGGCAGTTTTTCTCCATCTTGTTTCTCTAATGGCTGATTCAGTGCTTTGCCAATAGAAGAGACTCAAGAAGTATTTGTGGAATTGAATTGCTCTATAAAAGTCTTCAGACCATGTTTCTAGAATCAATTTTGTCACTGACCTTGAATATAACTTTCCCAGATCTCAGTTTCTGTATCTGAAAAAAGAGAAATGTCTACATATACTTCACTTCTCTCACAACTTTATCATTAGCACCAAACTAGCTTTGCCTTGTAAATGGTACCTTCTAAGATAAAAACATGTGTCCTCTGGAAATGAGAAAAAAAAAAGAGTGAGGAAACACTATAGGAATGCTGGAACTATTCCAATTAGATACTAGAGCTATAGGAAACCTCAGGACAATTCAAGCAAGGCTACCCTAAGGTGGAGGACAAGGAGGGAGGAGAAACAGAGGAGGTCGATTTGAGAGTGTGGTGTGGTCACAAATCATACACAGTCCAGTCAATGGCAGAGGGCAGCAGAGCAGAAATATTCACTGATATGAATGCAGTGCGGAAAGGCAGGGCTGAAATCCACTTTCTCACTGCTGGCCAGGGTTTTGTTAGAGACAGAGGTTTCCCGGTCCATAAGAAGGGAAAATAGAAGGAGAAGGATAAAAAACATTCACAAAATATCTGTATAGAAGGATGGAAAGCAGATGCACATGGGACAAATGGCATATATATGCATAAGGCCAAAGAGAGAAAAAAAAAGATGCAGCTTGATTTTTTTCATTTTTTATTATTTCTCATGGAGGTGGGTTTACTCCTGGAACCAAGAAGAGCAGTATGTAGAAAAAAGTGTTTATGGAGCATGCATGGAACTCGGGACCAGTAGACACTGCTGATCCTGATGTTTGCTGAAATGCAAGAAGAGAAATAGAGACAACACAAGACAGAACAGTCAGTGAGATTCAAACGAATAAGTGCTGCAATAATGACCAAGAAATGAACAAGTCAGTTAGGCGGGAGCCCTAGGGGTCAGCGTGGGCTCAGGACAAGTGATCTCAGGACCATGGATAGCTCTGCGCCTGCTCTGTGACTGGGATAAAGGTGGTCTATTAACACAATGCTACCTTCATGGGTAGCACTGCCTGGGTCCCATTTTTGATGTTGAGAGGATCTGCTTGCCCAGTTAAGGTATAAGTCTTTCGATCTGGGGAATCACTGTCATCTGTCTGGCGGCCTTCGATAACTCTATTCAGGGGTGGATCGGATGGTAGAAAGAAAGATTACTGGGCTTGGAGTCAAGAGACCTATGTTTTGTTCCTAGCATTGCCACTTGCTAGATGTATGGCTTTAGTTAAGTCTAACTTGGTGAAGCTCAGGCTTCTCTTCTGTAAAATGAGCTTCATAAGTTTTTTCTCTACTTTCTGTAAAGGCCTACTGGCAGAACCAAATAAGATTAGTCATGTAAAAGCATTTTATACTGTAAAAAAACCTATTTGAGAATGTGCAGTTATTGGAATTAGTCTCTTAGAAAATGAAGAAAGGAGTTCTATAGAAACTCTGCAGACTCGGAGACAGGGGTGATAGACCAAAGGTGTATCAGAGCCCAGCATCTCCAAGAGTAGAAGGAGAGCGCTGAGAGGAACCTGGATTTTCAGAAGTTGTGGAAGCCGGTTGGAAAGATAGATAAATGTAAAAAAATAAAGTGAAAGGATAAAGGGGAAAAAGAGAGGAAAAGAACAAACTTGCAAATATTCATAACTCTCCCCCCCCAAAAGGAAAGATTGATTATTTTATGCCAATTTATGGATAATAACCTGAAACAAGTTGAAATACCAACTAGGTGAAATAAATTTCTCAGAAATGTAAACCCATTTCAATAATATCAAACCTCTCTGGAAAAATCTCCTTTTTGTTATTTTTAAAGCCTTAGTTTTAACCTTATTATAAAAGTAATATATGACTATAGAAAAAATAGAAGAAGTAAGCCCTAAAGATAATTTTTTAAAAATGTTTTATTGATTTTTCACAGAGAGGAAGGAAGAGAGATAGAGAGCCAGAAACATTGATGAGAGAGAAACATCAATCAG